TAGCCACTTGTATTATTATATTCTTTCGACCTCGTACCTTTCTTCGGAAATGTCCGACTATCTGTCCAGGTCGGCACCCGAATCCATCGGGTTCTCCTAGGCCCCGTCAGACGATCTTCTTTACTCGGCCCTTTGCCAGGTCGGCACTATTGGTAGAAGGTACCGATCTGACTCGAGGCTCGGGGGACCGTCGCGATCCTATTTCGTACTCATCCAGCTCGGCATTTCTTTTCATTATATGACTCGGCCCCCGGCTGAGAGTTCGGCTCCACCCGGCAACCCGGTCCGATTAGTTGACTTTTGATTCAGGTTGATCCGGATATCAACAGAACTCCTCTCAAGAAATTTCATACTGAAAATACAGATCAGGGATCTGTTAAGATGAGGGAGAGAATCAATTATTGAAATTTGGAAATGATATATGCATCACACTAAAAGTGTGCAAATCATAGAATGATACTGGTGGTGCTGAAATATATGAAATGATATGATGATGAAATAATACGCTGAAAGCGGTTGTATTGTGCCAATTGAAATTCCTCAAATAAGCGATGAAAGGAGGCATATGTATACTATCGATGAAATCAATTGATAATGAGATATCTCAATATATTACGGGGAATAATAGAAATGAATATGTGTCGACACAAACAAATGAATAGCGCTATATAAATGATATTGATGAGAATGAAATCAGCAGAAATGAGAATATTGAGAACTATTGGTAGTAAGACTATTGAAATCGGTTGATGATGAAAATGAGTTTAAGAATGAAAGTTGCACAAAAGCATGATATAGCATATTATCATGAATACCACCAGTACTTGAATATGTGAATGAATCTATATGATACTCATACAAATTATGGGAACATTATAATGATGAATATATGGAATACGCATTGTACTCTTTTTCCCTTGGCTGAGGTTTTGTCCCATTGGGTTTTCTCAGCAAGGTTTTTAATGAGGCAACAGGGATGGCGTATTCAAATGAATAGTGTACTCTTTTTCCTTCATTAGGATTTTGTCCCACTGGGTTTTTCCTAATGAGGTTTTAACGAGGCATATTCATGCTATAATGAGGACTACTAGATAATTGATATGATTCCTCATGATGATGAGAAAAGACTTGAGTAGCTGTACTCTTTTTCCTTCGATCAATTTTTTCCCACTGGGTTTTCTTGACAAAGTTTTAACCGAGGCAGCACGTGGATACTCCACTAAAGATGATCTATTTGAGGGGGAGCAATATTGTGCATCCACAATACTCAGGTTTTGTCCCACCGGGTTTTCCTGAGGAAGCAATGTCATGATTTCATGATGATCAGTTTTTGTCCCACCGAGTTTCCCTGATATGTTGAAGCAATGGTACCTGATGACCACAAGATATACTTGAAGATGTGCAGATTGAGATTTGTTCAAATAATGATTCAAATATGTTTAGAAAATAGTCATTCAATGGGGAGTGTTATAAATATATATGATCCACCACAATTAATTTTATTATAAAATAATTTATATGAATGACTATTTTGCCCCTTATGTAATTGTATTCTTACGGGTGCCATCAGAAGTTTCTCTGCAAATAGGAGCTTCAATTATAATGAAAATCGTACCTAAGAGAAACATTTTCTCTATTCTCTATCTTTCTCTCTAGTTTTATAACAGTATTAAATAAATTAAATATCTCATGACTTTTTTAAAATCTCAAAGCAATACTTCAAGACTTTCAAACATTTTTAAAAGAAAAATGCAACATGTACATAATAAATGTACATAGAGGTGTACATAACTCTCACATGATGTGGGGTCCACTTGATTTTTTATTTTTGGTGGATCCCACACAATGTGAGTATTAGAGCATCTCCAAGAGACTTCTTATTTTAGACTTCTTATTTGGAGAAATAAGGAGTCATCCTATATCCATTTGCTTCCTATTTTCTGTTGTTCTCCAATAGTCTCCCTATTTTATAATTTGAATATGAACCAGGCCCACAAATCTATCTAAAAGCCCACTTGAAGCCCACTTGATATTGTAATTGTTAA